ATCGTGTTTTTCTTTTTCCTCCTCATGTTTTCTATTGGTCGACGCACAGTTTCACAAAATGAAATGCTCCATCTGTTCTCTCCATGAGTAAAGTAGAATTGGATTGTTTTCCGCTAGTAGATGCCAGACAAAGATGCTGAAGGCGTGTTTTATGTGTTACGGAGTATATCGCACACCGCTTTTCTTTACGAAGAAGGAGCCAAGGACAAGGAGGCAGGGAAACCGTGCGTCAGGGAAAGTGCGTGCACCGCTTGCCTGTCACGTAACACATGCCAAATCGGCAACTAACCGAGGTCCTCCCACCTTGTCCTCCCCTCCCCTGTCCAGATAAGGCTGCTTGTCTGTCTGGGCCCATCCAGCCGTGACCTCGCCGCTGCCAGCCCACCCCCGCCGACGCGTGGTCACGCACGCCCTCAACTCAACGGCCGCCGCGATGCCTGCACGATCTCCGGCGGCGCCCGGTCCGGTTGCCGCCGCCGTCATGCTCCCATCCCGTGTCAAAACCCTAGCCCAGTGCATAAGAATAGCACAACGTCTTCCACGATGCGCCGCCGTCCACGCCGTGAGCTTTTCGTAACCTTTCTGCACGGGTGTTCACTAGCAGCATTCGTTTGTTTCTAGTGTGCCTCCATTTGTTTTAATGCAGAAGCGTACGAGCTGCAGCGTTTATCTGTGTTGAACGCACGCATCTGCAATTTTGTCTACCACGCCGCTGCAGCCCGGCGGTTTTGGAACGTTTCGGGTTGTGAATGCAGGTGTTGACGCCCAACGACTTCCTGCGAATCTATGTGCTTGTCTCGCCAAAGACGACGACGACGACGACGGCGTCAAAGCCTCAAAGTAATCCAATTCTTCACGCGTGAACTGACACGGCTACAGAAGTGTCGTGCCAAAATGCGAGCCGCGGCGGGACAACCTTTTGCTCGGTTACATTTGGGGCATCCGGAATGCTAACCCAGCAGTCAGCGGTCGATCGTGATGGCATATCGTTTTTTTTATTCTTGAAAAGGTAGCAACAAATATTACGAACAAAAAAAAAACGAGGCACTTTACATTTATAAGGCTACAAGCAAACACGAGGTGTCCTACCAACTCAGTACTGTAACAATGCTAACCCTATCACAGATCACGATCAGAGAGTGAGAAAACCCGACACCGAACAATGGCGTGTCGATACGTACCCACGCGTGTAGGGCACCCCGGGGCCGAGTCACCGTGCGCGCACGCACGAGAGAATGAGAGATGCATGTCGCGGCTGGCTGATGAGCTGAGCAGCGAGGCGCCACGCGACACGCAGCGCTCGATTATTACCAGCAATCAATCCGAGATCCGTGGCACTGTTCACCGGATCACCGGCTGCGCTGCGCAGCTCGATCAGCCGTGTCCATGGCAGCATTGATCAGAGGTGCCCGGGGACAGGGACAGGGCCAGCCATGGAGGGATGGCTTCACTTCACATGGCGGGGGCGCGGGGCTGCTGTATCCGTGCGATGGAAATATATCTGCTTCTGCTCCGTGCAATGTACTGTACTGTACATGCAGTGGTCCATCATTGCCTTGAGGGGGCCTCCTCTTCCATTTCCATGCCGGGCTCGGGCGCTTGGCGACGCTGTCGTCCTGTGTCGAGGGACCAGCAGGGCTGGTAGCGGGTTTCGGATTGGTTGGGCGGCGACGCGCCAGTAACGCTCTCCTCGTGACGACACCCTGGTTGGAAAATCACTAATTGGCTACATGTTAATTCTGACCAGATGCGATAGACAAAAAAAATAATATTAGAAATTCTCACGTTAATCAGAAACATCCAACTATCAAATCTAAAGTGTGTAGCCACTCCTAACCATTGAATCTATTTTGTTATCTAGAAAATTATCCACCTCTCGCCATTATAGATTAAAAAATAGACAAATATATCATTTTTAAGGAGAAAAAGATTCCGTTGCTCTGGGAAAATCCATCCAAATACCGACGTCATATAGTATAGTTAATAAGATACGGTGGTAGTACGTCCATGGTTGGCCTCTGCCATTATTATAGATTAAAATATAGACAAATATCTCTATGGTCCTACGTCCATGGTTGGTTATTACATCCACGCCAACAAATCCATCCAACCGAGAACTAAATGTATTAACAAAATTCGGATAAAAGATATCGAAGGCAATATATCGACACCAACAAAATAGATACACATCTACTGGACTCCCAAATATAGGAACCCATCCAGCCAATCTAGACTGCCTTTACATATTTCGTCAACCACCAGCAAACAAGAGTCCATCTATTCACCGCTGGAATCCATCTATTCACACTGTTCGCCCCGTTGTTTCCACCATCACCATCGATCTATTCACCGTAGGAATCCATCTATTCACTGTTCATTAGGTTGTTTCTATCATCACCAACCAAAGGTCTATTGTTTTCATCATTCATCCATTTGCAATCTAATCTGTCTCCTGCAATCTACATGAATCATTATTATTTTTAGTTTACAAGTTGCAATGATTAGCAAAACCTTAAGGCGCTGTTCGGTTACGCTGTTCCCAGCCATTTCTGGTCAGGAATGGTTCCGGTGCTATTCAAAATATTGAAGAAACCGTAGCTCAGGAATGATTCTGGCCAGGAACTGTGGTAACCGAACGAGGCCTAAGTGAGATTCGGCCAGGAAAGGAATTGTGGAAAACCAAAAGCACGGGTCACTAGAATGTCGGATGCAATCTTGCTAGGTAGTGGCAATCAAATCAGTCTCAATGTGATTCTTATTGACCATCACGTATAATTTTCCAGTTTACATGCTAATGATAATAAAAAAAAAACTAGGGGACCAAGATGCATGGAGTTATCAATAAGGCATGTATGGAAAAATTCAAAACACTGATCGCTGCAAATGTCAGTCACAACAGCTGCACAAAAATATCGACCAATGTGGAGACTGATAAGGTACTCAACTTCTTCCCGACAACTAATATAAAGAAGATCAAAGATACACAAGACATTCCAAAGTATAGTTTCCAGTTCTTTAGTACAGACATGCTTTCTAATAGAGTACAAATAACGACATGTACCTCTTAGGTAAACTACTGCTAATGTTATATTTTTTTATGCTTTTCCTCATTTGATCACTATTTGATAATAAGAACTAATATTTATTTATCATAGATATCATAGGAGTTGCAGCACACATGGGACCGATAGAAGAAACCAGGACATACTTTGGAGCAAGTGACCAAAATCTGTGATATTGTGCTCCTGATCAAGTAGGATTTTTTCCTTCCCAAATGCTACTGCAGCAACCCTGATGAACTAAAGATATTTTCTTATTGTTTTTCACACGTTAAATTAGATTATTTTCCCTAATGTTTCAGTAATCTTAAATTACATTGTTTTTTACTTCAAAATTTGCAGTGGACAAGAAGTTAAGGTTCGATTTTAGGGGTCCAAAGTTGAGCAAATTGATGAGAGCGCAGAATCTCATGTCATTGCAATAACATCTACAACCATGAAAAAAAATTGACAGTAAGTCTTCATTTAATATCAATAATTCAATAATATTAGCCATTCAACAAGAATCTAAGGAAAGTAAATAATTCTTATTTTGCAGAATATTCTTTGTCATCAACCAATGCAACACAAGTTTTTGTAGATTTACCAATTCCTGAAGCTATGAATGCATGTAACAGGTAAATCAAATTAAAATAATGGTATTTCTATTTTGTATATGTAGCTTACACTCTAACATGGTAAAATTTCTTTGTATAAAAAAAGTTTATATTCAAGTGGTATAGTATAGAAGAGATTCATATTGATGACAATTTAAAAGGGAAATTGGAGGAGCAAATGCAGTACAGTAAAAGAACTTGAGAAGAATTAGGTTTGATTTTGTATGAGTCATCAATTAATAATAATATTTTTCGCTTGACAGCTTTCATGACACACTAGGAAAAGCTAAATCCTAAAAAATTTCAATATTAGCTATATGATATAGTGTGTTTTATAAGAAAGAGAATCATGTATCTCTACCATTATGAACTACAATTCAAAATAATCCTTAAATTTGTATCTAAATTATTGACATCTGTTATTAAAAAAAATCTTTTAATATTGCTATACACACGGTTCAATTACTAAAGGGAGATATCCAACACGTCCAAATAATGTACGAAGTGAGTTGGGGCACAAAACAAAAGAAAGAAAAGAAAATATCCAACCGTGGAATCAAATTAATTAAGACTATTAGCAATGCCAAGGCGATCTCTCTCAGACATACCAATGCCAATTCTAAACATTTCTATAACTCTGGAGTCAAATAAAAGTTAACTGAATGAAGTATTTTTTTTATTAAAACATATATTAAACATGGTTTTCTATTGCTGAAGTATTCTCAAAGTTAGCCCATGTGGCCATGACGAATAATCTATGATGGACTAGTTTCCTGAATTTGTGCTGTGACGATTTGGATCTTGTTCATGTACATGAATGGAAATGGGACGCAAGCCGCACAGAACAAGGAGCCAAGGGCAACACGATACTGAGATAAAATGGCTCCTAGTCCACACAGCTAAATTAAAATGTCTCCTCATGGGCTGGGCCTCCTTTTCCCAGTTTGGGGGTGTTCAATTTGGAGGAATTCTTTATGAATTTGGATGGTTTGGAGAATCGTCAAGGAATTTGTGAGAGAAAAAACTGTTTCGGATGAAAAAAAGAAGCGGATCAAGCTGTGTTTAAGGGCACGCGAACGGGGCCTTTATGTTACAGAAAGAATCAATTCCGAAAAAAAAGAATCAATTCCGAAACATGTTACAGAAAGAATCTTGTTTGGTAGGTTGTGGTGCAGTAACAAAGTAGAGGAATTCCACCACATGATTCGCAGAAAAGAAATGATCAATGTACATAAGTCAACAAAATCCAGAAAACGAATTCGACGCCGTAAATACAGAACTCGTCGTTGGAGCAGACAATAAAACCATTGTCAACAGTCTCCTCTCTCCCTGATCCTGCACGAACTCAAGCAACTGTTGTTTGGAATCTCGACAGTTTCACGGTAGCCTTCCTCTCCTTCCCAACCCGGGAAGGTGCCATAAGGCCACTGCGCAAACGGAAAGTGAAATGTTATGTCAGGCGTGAGGGGTGGAAGTGGAACGGAAAGTTAGACTGTTTGAACTCAGCGAGGAGTCCTGCAAACCTTGCTGTTTTGGTTGTTCGTGTTGATGATGACGCAGCAACCCTAGAAACTGTCTGCGGTTTCACAGTTTTGCATTGGATGCTGTTGAAGGCCGGCCTGGACTCACCTAGCTGCTGCTGACCCGTTACAATCTGGGTGCTTTGTTTCTTCTGAACAATATCGTAAGCACAGATCAGCATGAAAACTCCAGTACTCGTTTGAATTCGAGTTGAAATGTTTGGCAGCATCAATGCTCACCTGTTTCTTGCCGCAGGTCGGCTTGTCTCGTCCTTGCCATGGGTGTGTTTGTCCATTTGCTGCATTGTATTGCAAACATACAGAGCAGTCAGCGACCTGGCTGTTGAAACTTGAAAATGCTGGGCGTCTAGAAGCTGATGAACTTACTGTCACTCCTCTATTCGAATCCTTGAGTACTGCCATGGAGTTATTCTCAGCGAACGGCTGCCTTTTCCCTGGTTTTGCTTCTTTAAGCACTCCTCTTTCCTATAGAGAATGGACCAGTGAGAGGCAAAGATTTTTTACTAGTAACTAATCCTGCAGTACAATGAGAATCTGAGGTGTGTAGATACTCACATCAGTCCTTAGCCTGAATGGCCTAGGATTGGTAGTTTTCTTGAGCTTTCCTGCTTGCTCTTGATGCACTTTGCTCTGCAATTTAGCCACCTGCATTTGATCCACAACAGCATGTCAGGTTGTTCACACCCGAACTGCAGGAAAAAAGCTCCATTTCTTTTTCAGTACCATCAGTTCACAGTCATAGTTACCTTCAGAGCAACATTCTCCTTCAGAGGAACATTCTCATTGTTCTCCAACTGTCTGTTTTCAATTTCAGAATGTGAACTGTCCAATGCTTCTTCAGTCGGAGCACTCGACAGATTCTCCTTATTGTCATCGGAATTGTCAGATCGCGATGTATCCACCTCAATTCTCAATTCCTGCAGCACCACCTTCCTTTCCTGATCGGAGCTAGCAGTTTCTGCGAGTGAGTTCTCGTCTGCAACAGTGCTGCTGCAACCATTTCGGTTCTTTCTATCAGATTCGGCATTAGCACACTTCACTGAGCGTACTAAAATTTTCTTCTTGGCATTCATCTTGGATTCCTGCCCCCGTTTCTCGCTCTTGGCCACCGTCGTCTCCTCGCCCTTCTTGGCAGCCTTCGGATTCTTCTTCTGATTCATGTACCTGCTCGGCACCTCCCGGCACGCCAAGTTCAGCTTCCTCGGCTTGGAACAGGCCTCGGACACAGTCTCCTTGCCCTTGTCTGCCGCCGGCGTCTGGACCGGCTCCTTCTTTGGCGTGCTCATGAACAGAGCCTTGACGACCGTCCCCTTCCTGGCCGCAGCGGCGAACGGCTCCTTCTGGTGCTTCACGCTGTGGAACAGCTCCGGCCTCGGCCGGACGGACTTGCTCCGCGGCGTTGTCAGTGCCTTCTTCCTCTCGCTGGGACATTCCACCCTCACAGCCTTGGTACGGATTGGGGATGCTCGCAGGGCGCAGATCCGCTGGACCCTTGGCTTGGGCTTCGCCGGTGCCTTCTCCGCGGCCTCCGTCTCCGCACTCAGCCTCGCGAACCGAGCCCTCGGAGGCTTCGGCGGCGCAGAGTGCGGGCATTTCAGCATCGAGCTGCAACAAAATTAGAACCCGGGATATAAATCTGACTCCAAGACTGTAGAGTTCAAATGGAGCATCCAGCTCAAGTGGATGCTGTCGGTACCGTACCTCTGGTTCTTCCTGCTGATAGCCTTCTGTAGCCGCACGTTGGGGCTTCTCGCCGCCATGACCTGTCAATTAGCATCCCACCATTGATCAATCGACGACATTCGCGTTGTACCCTAGGTTGATTGAGATATGGGAGAGAGAAGGGGACAAACCCGCATAAAGAAGCTCCTGTCCAGGGCCTCCGGATCGACCTGCTCATGGTTCTGGTCGCAACCTGCGTGCCACGGCACAGATCAGGACCCTTCGCTAGCGCAGAACCCGCGACGCAGCGAAGAACCGAGATGACTTGCGAGGGGGTTTGTCGATCACTTACCGACTCGGAGGCAGAACCAGGCGGGGTCGTCGTCAGGGCGGCCGGCGTCGGGCGCGGTGAAGTCAACGAACTTGGGCGCCTGAATGTCCTCGTAGAACAGGGCATCGTCGTACTCCTCCTCCTCCTCGTGGTCCGGGTGCCTCGACAGGATCCCCATGGAGTTTTTTTTTTGATCCTCGACGGGGTCGGCTGGCGGGCGATCGAGCTGGCAGCTGAGCTCGCTGGCGCGGCGGCGGCGGCAAGGTGCCAGTGCTTGGGCTGAGAATCTGAGATGATGCCTGGTGGCGCAGGTGCTGGATGAATTTGAGATCGCAGAGGGAGTTTGAGCGGGCGGAGGGTCGGCAGGCTGGGCAACTAGCCGTTGGAGCGGCGGCGTTGCGTTGGATTGAGGGATTATTATTACTTTTTGATTTTTTTATTAAATAAAACGGTGGGCGTCGGCACATGGCAGCTCCACGGCTCCAGAGACGTTGGCAACTGCTGCAACTTGAACTGATTGAACTCGATGGATCGGTGGGATTACATTTACATGTAGGGAGGTCAAAACTGCTTCCGAGTTCTCGTTTGGTACGGCTGCGAGGAGATTCGGCTTCTACATCAGGTATGCACTCAGTAGCGTGCCGAACCGGAGCCACGGAGCCGTAAATTCGAGCTTCACCGCTCCATAAACAATAACCGCGCTACAGTGAGGAAAAAAAAGTGGGAGAGAAAACAGCTCCGAGCTACAAAGTTCCATGTCGAGGTGTCACCGGAGCTGCGAGTTGCCTTGAGCCCGCCAAACGCATCTTAACCGGGTTACTGGAGTAGGAAAACAAGTAAAGCAGACGGTGATGATCCATAGGGTTGGAGAGAACACCACTGGAAAACTAGACTTGCCGAGTGCCTGAGACTTTGCCGAGTGCTTTTTATCGAGGCACTTGGCAAAGCAATATTTTGTAGAGTGCAGCTCTCGGCAAAATAAAGCACTTAAGACAAAGATCCCACTCGACAAAAGGTGTGGTAGCCCATGACGGCGACCACCTGCCGTCAGATTTTGACGAGTGCCTAACAGCTGGCACCCGACAATTTTTTTTTATTTTTAAAAACTTATTTTGCCGAGTGCCAGCCCCAGGCACTCAGCAATTTTTTTTTAAAAAAACATATTTTGCCGAGTGCCAGCCCATGGCACTCAGCAATTTTTTTTAAAAAAAAATATTTTGCCGAGTGCCAGAGATAGACACTCGACAATTTCTTTTATTTTTTAAAACTTATTTTGTCGAGAGCCAGACCCAGGCACTTGTCGAGTGCAAAGGGCTCTTCAAAGCCGCGACCTCCAGTAGTGGAACTAGCCGCATGACCGTATAATTACATGGCTTAGCACATGGTTCATACTCTAGTGAAAATAAATTAGCAAGTGTCCTCATCACATGTTTTACTATATTGTCCCACTCCTATAGTAGCTTCGTCAATGAATTTTGTTATTAGACGTTAAGGTTGTACCATCGTGATTTGTAAGCTACACATCCTTTGCTTAATGGTTGAATAACGACGCGACCTTAAACGCTCTAGGCTTTGAGGTCTGAGGGTGGTGAGACAACTTGTATCCTAAAAATACTATCATTGAGAAAAAGGATGCCTCTGTTGCTCGGGCCGTGTTGTTAGTGGCGAAAGAGGGCATCTACTGGGTGACGGCGAGAAGTGAGACGAGGAAGAGGTAGAAGAGGAGGGTGAGGGAAGCCATGAGCGGTCTCAACCTGGTGCGGCACACATGCCTCCTCTATTGCGTGCGTGAAGCCTCAATCGCCGATGACTTATGTGCCACCATCTCTGTTGAGATCTACATGGCCGCTGTGGGATGTTGGCACCTGAGACAAAAACTGGCTCATGGATTTTCTAAAGTTCCTATTTGGTGACTATCGCCTCTTATCTCACTCTATCTACTTCCCCTCTATGTTCGCAAGGTCTATCGTGCTGCCTCGCCTGCAAGGTCCACACCTTCTATCTCTCACCCTTCGTTTACCTCAGTGACCCCAATATGGTAGCCACCCCAATGCTGCGCACTCCAGCTCCACCAATTTAAATCGGTCATAAGATACAACATAGAAGGTAGAGAGATAGGAGGAATAAGATAGACCGAGGACATAATCCTCCCTCTCTCGGCTATTGAATAAATGGCTATTTTAATTGTTGAGGTGTCTACCGGTGAAGATTCAAGCTTTGTGGGTGTGTTTGGTTCGTGGAGTCACCCTATGTATCATGAGGTGATGCATCATGAGTTCATCCCATAAACTTTGGTGGAGCCAACTCATTCCTCATGCATATACTAATTATTAGCTTGTGAGGAATGAGGGTGGTGATGGATCAACTCATTTCATTTCACAAACCAAATACAAGGAGTGAGGAGTGAGAAGATGATGAACCATCCCATTGCTCAAACCAAACACACCCTATAATGGTATTAGATAAATTCGAACGTTGGTGGTGTGCATCAGTAAATCCTACACAAGAATACTGCCTGTGAGCAAAATTTACCTATTCATTTTCGTGTCTAGAGATAAATTCATCACGGGCAGATTGTATCTTTGTGTGCCTCTCGATATTTTGGTCCAAACTTCACTAGAAATGTACATGTGATTTGTGAACCGCAGCTTGGCAGAGAAGCCCAATGTCAATCGAGCCCAGCGCAGCCTGATTACCTGGGTCAAACTGATTCCTCTCTTCACAGCCACTAGAGTCTTCATAATTCGCCTTCTAACATGAAGCCCAAGAAGCCATTCCACTCGAACACTGGAGGCCTTCTAGGCCGAAAGCATTCAGCCCATCAGGATCAGAGAGCCCACGCAACCCTCCGCTTCCCCCACGCGGCCACGCCGCTTCCGACGCTCCGGTTCCCCGCTGGCCTCTCCGTCGTGCCGCCAAAGTTTTCGCTGCCTCGTCTGTCGTCTCGATCGGGCAGGCAAGGGGATCGTGGCGGCGGCCGGTGGGAGCTCGGAGAGGCGGCGGAAGACTATCCGATTCGACGATTCCCTGGCTCGTGCTGACCCGACGGTGCCATCTAGACGAATTCCCCTCCAGACCATCACAACAGGTGCCAAAGTTTCATCCAATTTGTTATAAAAAAAAAGTTTCATCCAATTCGTCCTTCTCTAGTTCGGCTGGTTCACGTGATTGTTCGCAGTCTCTGGGTTCCTGCTCTCGATGTACGGTACACGGAGAGAATGGATAGCTGTTGTTCGCGAGTCGATCGACGAACGAACTCTACATTACCAGGGTTGTTGTAGGGGTCGCAAATCGATCAAGTCGAATATCGATGAGGGCAGGAGAAGGGGGTTGCTCGACTTTCTAATTGCTGAACAGGCTGAGAAGGGGGCAAGACTGCTCTGCATGGTACGGTAATATAATAACTTGAACAGATGTTGTACCATTTGGCGGCCACAAGCTATTCAGTTGAAAGTGGATCTGAAGTCTTTTTATTTGCCATCGGACTGTGCATTTTATGCATCTACTAGAACTGACATGCTGCAATGTTCTTCAGAGATCAGTATAGGAGTGTTTGGTGTAGCAGTAGTGTTTCAGAGTTCAGTTCAGAACTGACATTTGACCCATAAGCTAGCATAGTTCAGTAGTCTAATAATTTGAACTTTATTTGCCATTTCGTACTCCCTTTTTTATTACTGAAACATTTGTGTTTGAGAGAGATTCCTTACAACATAGTACAGTTGCATGTAGCAGTTTTGTTAGTGTCCTAATTTGCTTGCATATACACAGTACTATTGACATTTCGTACTCTCTTGTACAGCTAACGTGGCGAATGCTGGGTCGACCCATTGGTCACCAGAGTAATTGTCTCCATTAGGTTGGGTTTTCCCTAGAAAGAAATGTTGATGAAGCACGTTTACCAAGTAAAAGGGTGCATCATGTCCACTTTTTTATTTCTCTTTTGACAAGTAGGGACCATTTGATTATCCTAGATCATGAAAAGAGGTTCCAATCTTGTGCCGAAAGAGCAAGTGGTAGATCCTAGGTTTATTGTAGCATGTCAAATGTACAATATGTGGTTTAGGGATGAAATCAATTACTCTGATTGAGAATGCATGACAGTAACTTTGGATTCCTTTTTACTGGCATAGATAACTTAATTGGCTCAGATGCATCTTTGACCAAAAGGCCCAGCAGCTCTTCCACCAGTTAGTATTTTGGTCCATGAGAAACTAGACATGGCTAACATGGTTTTGGATAGAGTAGCGAGCTTATTATAGCTCACAAATAAGAAAACTAAATCAACCATATATTGAGTAATATAAGAAAACTCTAAATCATTTTTTTGTAACATGAATATGTCAGTGTTGTGCTTTAGACAGGCCTTTTGGGTATAGTTCTCTGTTATGCATATTATTCTTTTGTTCAGCTTGGTGCTATATAACTATGCTACTGGCCTTGTTCTGCAGCAGGATGGAATATGTGTATTGAATCAACAGTGTTACACTCATTTATAATTTATAAACAAACAAAACAAAAGGTTTCCTTTCCCCGTTCAGCTTACCTTAAATCCGGCTTGTTCGGCTTCTTTTTTCAGCCGGAACAGCGTTTTTCTCTCACAACATTTCAGCCAGAACAGTGTTTTTCAGCCAAGTGTCAGTTCCAGTTCATTCATATTCTGAATGGATCCAACTTGTGAAACTTGTGACAGCTGCAACAGCATGATGCATTCTTCCTGGCTGTTTCATATGCTGCATCATCTTTCATCTTACCGTGTTTTTTCATTTCATTATTTTTTTATATGACATGATAGTACAGCAACAGTCATCATAACATTCTTTTCATTCCTGTCATGAGAGGTAATTGAATTTTTCTAATGCACCAAACTTGCTGCTGGCATTCAGATATAATAGAAAGAATTACAGGATTGAATTATTGAGGATGCAGCCATACAGAAGAGGATAACCAATGAGGTTAGTATGTTACTATGATTATTCCTTTATCCTTCCTTTAGACAACATATTCAGAGCCATCTCGACATCTTCCTCTTGTAATACAACAACCAACAAGTTAACAAAGTAGTTGCCCTATGACAAATCATTAAATAATTATGACCTCTATAGGTGCAATAGAGTATGTTGGGGGGGAGGAGGCCGCTAGATCAAACACTTTCGTGCTAGCTTCAGAAAAGCTAAGCAG